CCCTGGCGGCAGCCTCTCTGGGGGCTCGACAGCCCACCCGAGACCAGGGTGAGTGTGGAGATGTCCGGGTGGGCCCCACGCGTGTCCTCGTTCGGGGCGGGGTGGCTTCAAGACCCTCGGCTGGTTCCCAGGGCCGCGCCGGCACGTGTCGACCGCATCTGTAATGTCCTGTCCCTCGCGGAACTTCCTAGCGCACCAGTGGACAGCTCAGAGCTCCCTCACACGCTGCTTGTCCCTCCACGTGTCGTGTTCCTCTCTACGTTTCTCACCCAGAAGACTCACCTGCGTGTGCTAAGATTTCCCAAAGAACCTTCTGGGAGACGCAGGAGGAGACAGAGCCTGGCGCACAAGGGGGTGGGCCCAGCGGCTGCGGAGTGGAAGGGACCTTTGGGATTAACACACCTGTGGAGCGTTTGGGTGGGACTTGGAAAAGGCGGGCACTCCAGTCTGATCTCCGTTTCTCAGAACTTTGCCTCCTGCCTTTACTATTCTCCCTGTCTTTCCCTGCGGCCCACTCAAGTAAACCTTCGTCTGCCTGTTTTCCAGGTTCTAAAGAAACGCTAAGCAGATGGCCACAGTCACTTTAAACATGGAAAGGGTTTGGCAGTAATGTAGAGGGTAATCACGTAGAAAAAGCCACAAAACGTCCACCAAACGCGGCTGACTCTGCAGTTGACCGGGGAGCTGGATGAACCCAAATGAACCGGAGCACAGGTGGTAAGAAGTACACACACAAACACACTCTGTGTGTAAGCCTTTCTCCTGCTATATTTAGTGAGTCACCACATCCCTGTGATCTTCGGGGAGATAGTTTAGTATTATTAACCCTGCTGTGAGTATACAGGAAACTGAGGCCCTGGCAGGTTATAGTATTTTGCTCTCTCTGAAGCATAGAATATAAATGCAGTAATCACCACTTAACTAGTATGTTCCCACAGGACAACCTCACTGATGAATAACCTAGATACACACAAAAGCACTTATAGTTACCTTGAGTGTAACTTGACCTAATTTTAAAACACATAACCTAAATTAATGTTAACGTACATAATTATAATGTAGAAATAAAAAAATCACAAATTATCGGTGCAGTTTTCTACACTACAAAACCAGACCCCACAATAAAAAGTCACTGTTACAGTAAAATTAACAGTAGGAGGTTTTTTTTGACAGAATAGATTATGAGTAGGGTCTAATTTTTTTAGTTTTTTATGTATTCTAGATACTAGTTCTCTGTCTGAAGAATACCTGCAAAAATTTTCTCCCATTCTGTATGTTGTCTTTTCACTCTGTTGGTTGTTTTCTTTGTTATGCAGAGCCTTTTTACTTTTTTTTATTTTAAAGAGTAAAAGAAGGTGCAGAGCCTTTTTAATTTGATGTGATCCCATCGGTTGATTCTCAGTACTATTTCCTGTGCAGCTGGGATTCTGTTCAGAAGTTTTTGCCTACACCTAGCACTTTGAAAGTTTTACCTATTTTATCTCCCACCCGAGTAAATGTTTAACATTCAGTTCTTTGATCTGTTTGTTTTTTTAATTAACTGAATTGGTACAGTTTAGATATGCATAGTGATAACATTAATCATAGGGAATTTGTACCTATACATGACATATCTTCATTCTTTTTTCCCCATTTGATTTTAATATAGTATATAGTGAGAGACACGGGTCTACATTCGGGTTTCTGCACATGGAGTCAGTTTTCCCAACACTGTTTAGTGAAGTGGCCGTCTTTCCTCTAGTGCGTGGTTTTCACTCCTTTGACAAAGATCACATAGTAGAATGTGCTTGGCGTTGTTTCTGCACCCTCTGTTTGAAACATGATCTTGCCAGGTTGTCCAGATTGGACTTAAACTTGTGAGTCTCCTGCCTCAGCCTCCAGAGTTCTGGGATTTCAGGCCCTGGCCACCATGCCTACCTCTTGAGCCCTCTTATAAGGGCTGTAATCATCACTGAAAATCCACACCTCTTCCTACGGTTGCACTGGGGATTAAGAGTCAACACTAATTTTGGGCCCAGCACCGTGGCACAAGCCTGTTATCCTAGCACTAGGGAGG